CACTTGATCAGCAGGGATTTGCTAAAGCAAAGGCATAGAAAAAACCAGGAAAGATTTATTACTCGACGTTTCGGGGTCATCGTGACTCCATTATCAAGAGACTAGTTTAAAAACATGCAAATAAGGAAAGGTACAAGAATAGCATAAATTAGACTGAACGGCTTAAACAAACACCTTGGCGCGGATGGAATCCGTTTGCACGTTCAGTGTTGGCTTACGCATGCGAATATACAACATTTCATTAACAAGGCAATCAAATTTGCCGTTACATTTCGTGATGACGTTGAATTGCTCGATCAAGCGTTCAGGCATTTCACTATTGTGCTGGAGGTGGTAGTGTTTGTAGATAGAAGATGATTTCCTTTTGTGCCCTTCTACGCGCTCGTGTAAGTGACCACGTGTATAGCCCACATACCCTGCATCACACAGGTTACATTTAAATTCATAAACGATACATTGTTGGTTAACAATAGGGGGCTTAATTTCGTGTTGCTTAAGCTGTTGATCGAGCTTAGGGCTAACGAACACTGGTTGGACAGTTTGTGACAGTTTGTGACGGTTTGTGACAGTTTGGACAGTTTGTGACGGTTTGTGACATGAAAGGCGTCAAGTTTTCTCTACAGGGTGAAAATAGTTGATTTCAAAAAATAGTAACTCTTCTTATCTTACTACTTTGCAAAATGAATAAAAATCCTTCTCATTAATTTTTACAAGATAAAACGATAAAGAAGCGATGTTACACTGAAGAGAAAGAAGCAACGGAGATGTACAGGGTGAAAAAGATAGCATTAAGTCTATGGGAACAACATGCATAAAGTACAGCTTTAGAAGGGTTGCTCATGGCTTTATCTTCTCTTCCATTCAGAGGAAAATAAAGGAAAATGTAAAGTGATTTCCAATCTACTTTGGAAGCGCTACTTAACGCTTCTTTTCCCAATTTTCAAAAGTTACAGTTTAAGTGGTGCGAGGGGGTCATTCTTAAGATTGTAACTGAGCCGAACTCAGGCGATATAGGCATCGTAGCGGAAAAAGAATCGAGCAGTGCAATTATTCTGTTAGTCCGAATTGAGACGAGCGTACACTGAATTAATTTTTTTTTGTGCGCCAACTTGGCAGCTATCTGTGCAGTTATCCAGATGAATGATTAAAGGGCGTTTTTCATGATGATTTTGACCTCATGACAAAAGTGTATAATAAGGAAATGTTTTCCGCAGATAGCTCAACATCAGCTGCATTTATAACTTTCATTACACTTGTAAACAAAAACGAATAACAATTTGTCCATGTTTCCGCGTATTTGCAGAGTTCCTGTCGACGATAGGAATTCTCATCCCCTCAGCCTTTTATAGATTCCAAGTGACCTTTATAGGCCGTCAACTTGTTCTTTAATACGCCCCATAATCAATGTTTTTTTTTGGCTTCGATAAGTAATAAGCCATCATCCCTACGAGGTGTAACACGGCTTGAAACTGAGGAAAATGGGGCGAACGTGTAAAAGCATGGGTTACCTAGGATATATGAGGGTTAACGTGGTAGAATATCGCTAATCTAGGTAACTGGGGGTAAACGTGGAGGAACATGGCTCATTAAGGATAGATGATGGCTAACGTCGAAAACAATAACTAAACTAGGGTAGATGATTGTTAAGGTGGTAGAAAGTGGTCAATCAAGGGTTGATGGGAGTAAACGTGGTACAGAATGGCTTACCTAGGGCACAAGGGGGTAAACGTGGTAGAACATGGCTAACCAACGGTAGATGGGAGTAAACGGGGTAGCACATGAGTTACCTGGGGTAGATGGGGTTAAACAAGAAAGAACATGGGTTACCTAGGGTAGATGTAGGTAAACGAGGAAGATCATGGGTTACCTAGGGTAGATGAGTCTGAACGTGGTAGAACATGGGTTAACTAGGGTAGATAAGGGTGAACATGGTGAAATATGGCTAACCAAGGATAGATGGGGGTAAACGTGGTAGAACATGGGTTCCCTAGGGAAGATAGGGTTTAACGTAGTAGGACATGGGTTACCTAGGGTAGATGAGCGTGAACGCGGTAGAACATGGCTAATCAAGGGTAGATGGGAGTAAACGGGGTAGAACATGGTTACATAGGGTAGATGGGAGTAAACGGGGTAGAACATGGTTACATAGGGTAGATGATGGTAAACGTGGTAGAACATAGGTTACCTAGGGTAGATGAGGGTGAACGTGGTAGAACATGGCTAATCTAGGGTAGATGAGGGTAAACTGAGTAGAAAATGGGTTACCTAGGGTAGATGGGGGTAAACGAGGTAGAACATGAGTTACATAGGGTAGATGGGGGTGAACGTGGTAGAACATGGGTTACCTAGGGTAGATGAGGGTGAACGTGGTAGAACATGGCTAATCTAGGGTAGATGAGGGTAAACTGAGTAGAAAATGGGTTACCTAGGGTAGATGGGGGTAAACGAGGTAGAACATGAGTTACATAGGGTAGATGGGGGTGAACGTGGTAGAACATGGGTTACCTAGGGTAGATGAGGGTAAACGTAGTAGAACACGGGTTAACTAGGGCAGATGAGGGTAAACGTGG